GCATTCCGCGAATAACTACGGTACGGTTACAACGAAAATGCAAGAAGCTTTAGACAAATTGACGAAATGGTCCAATGAATGGGGATTTCGAAAATCTGAATGTAAAACAGTATGTATGCTCTTCTATAGGGATCATAGGGATGTGTCGTCTATGAAACTGGAAATGAACAACACCCGAATTGAATTCAAAGATCAGGCAAAGCTTTTAGGGGTGACCTTTGATCGCAAAATGACTTTATACCACATATTGAAAATATTTTTAAAAGATACAATATCATGGGGACAGCTGTCCTACATTTAAGTGTACAAAAACATCAAGGAAAAAATTCAAAAGAAATGTTAAATCAGAGATTCAACCGTTCAGTCACAGAACAATAAATGTTCTATTAAAAGATCTAAGATTAGATCACCATCAGATTACTGACAAGGTATTTTCGCATCAAGCCCCATGGACTTTATTAAACCCACACTATGACATACTAAGCAATGTTGTTAAGAAGAGAGAAAATCCACAACACGCTCAAATGCTATCGAGGGAATTCTTGAACGAAAAATATACACGGACGGATCCCGCGATCCAAACACAACGAAAACTGCATTAGGTGTAGTCATTCCTGAATTTAATGTTATTATATCAAAAAGGCTACCAGATGGATGCTCCATCCATACCGCAGAATTAAAGGCAATATCCACAGTTCTTGAGTGGCGTGTGTCATCCACTGTCATTGTGTTAGACTCCCTTAGCGGCATAAAGTCAATAATACACGATAAAACAATATCTAGGCCATAAATTGTTCAGAATATTCGAGCAAGTCTTTGTTCCCTCCGAAACAAAAATAAAACCGTAGAATTTACATGGATACCATCCCATGTTGACATAGTAGGCAATGCGTCTGCAGACAATCTGGCTCGCAAAGGACTCGGCCTCTGCAAGACTGAAGACTTAAAATATAGCGTTCATAAATTTAACAGCTTTGTTAAAACTAAGATTAAATCAGAATGGAATACCGAGTTGGCCAGAGCAAATACTTTTAGATTCAAATTAAATAACGACTAAAGGCTGAGGTCAATCACTCATCTCGCAAAATTTGTGGCTTAATCACAGGAATGAGAACTAAAGATTTAATTACCGACAATAAATATATACCAGTGAAGAGCGAATGTGGCCACATTCTGACCGTTAAGAGAAAAGACTCCCAGTAGGAGGTTTAATGGAAGATTCCAAACTTCAATAAACCCTCCAAAATATACTCTCCCCTCTCGTATTATGTTTTAATTTGTTTTAATTGCCTTGTTCTGTGTTGCTGCTGGCTCTTCTTTTTAGCTAACTTTTATCTAGGATGAGTCATACGCAAGAAAACCCCTAATGGAATGCCTTTAACTTTTAATCGATAACGCTGTGAACCGTATTGAAGGACTTTTAACTAACTTTTAACCAAATGGAACTTATTGGACGAACAGTTTTTAATATGTAAAGCCACGGGTCCAGCTATGTGGTTTTTACTGCGAGCACTTCGCTTTTCCAAATAACGCAAGAGGATTCTTTTTCAACACGGCTTTTTTTTCTATCCGCACTGATGACGCCAAACATCAATCAGCTGGACCTCCTGTTTTAACCTGTTTTTTTATTATGACAAAAGGGGCCACTCTGATTAAGTTGGTAAGACGCTAGCCTGCTAGCCTGGAGGTCGGGTGTTCGATCCTTGCATTGGCCGAGAAAGTTCATCCTGATTTTCCGGCGTGGTTCCCCTTGTCAGTGATGCAGGACGGAGGGCCTGACAAGGACAGCTGTCTAGTTGTTTGGATGGCACGAAAAGCCCAGGTCCCGTGTACACATTGGCGTGCACGTAAAAGATCCCTTGGCAGTTGGAATTCGTTATAAGAGTAGGCAGTTGCGCCACTTCCCGGCAAAATTTCCCTCATAGCACACTGTATGGCGTATACCCGTCTTCATTAGCCCAGTTCGGAGCAGAAGAGTAGGACGTTAAACCCCATTTCAGTTTTCATTTCTATTATGACAAAGGGAGAAGATAAGTGTGTTTAAATTGACCTTTTGATATACAAGGAGGTTTTTATTTTGTGTTTTTACCAATTTTCAACCCATTAAGTGTAAATAATTTAATTAAATCAACATGTCCATAATATCATATTTAATGTATTGGACGTTAAGTCTTTAATAAACAACAACAACAACATTCTATTATCATTGCTTGATAATGATTAGAAATGCCTAGTTGAAACGTAAATATAGTTTTTAAAAATATATCGTATTTTTCAGGTTTGAGATACAGCAGTGTGGTGATGTTGAGAAACCCATCAAAAAAGCGCACCACCCTAATTAAGGATCCAGTATATTATGTCAGTATAGAAAACACGTACGATGTGGCCAAGTAAGCTCACATAGCCACTGACCATGGTGAACGTGATCGAATGGTCAAAGAGGTCATGGAATTTTTAAGTCCTACTACTAGGAATGTCAGAGGAAACGCAAGCGCCCAAGAACCAAGGGTATGGTGGTACGTCCCATTCTCACAAAAGAATTCCCCTCGCGCGCACAAGTTGATCATATTGATATGCAATTCATAGCCCAAAATTCATTCAAGTGGATCATGGTCTATCAAGACCACTTGACCAGGTTTGTTATTCTACGAGCATTAACCTCAAAGGGTGTTGCTGAGGTTGCTCATCACCTACTGGATATTTTTCTTCTTGTCGGTGCTCCATCTATCCTCCAGAGCGACAATGGACGTGAATTTGCTGCCGAGGTTATCTCTGAACTGAAGCTGATGTGGCCCAGACTTGTCATGGTTCATGGTAAACCTCGACACCACCAAAGTCAAGGGTCTGTGGAAAGGCCAAATGGTGACATCAAGGATGTGCTTGTTGCTTGGATGGGCGATAATAACACAGATGATTGGTTTGTGGCCATAAAATTTGTACAATTTCAGAAAAATTCCAATCTGCATTCTAGAATCAAACGATCACCATATGCCGCTATGTTCGGATATGAATCTAAAGTTCGTTTAACATCATCATCTTTGCCGACCGAAGTTATTGAATGGCTGCAAAGTGAGGACGATTTATTGTTCGCATTTTCCAGTCTGCAAGACTCAACCACCAATCCTGACCCGGCGCAAACTACCAGTCAGAAACCGTCACAAACCACCAGTCAGAATCCGACACAAACTATCAGTCAGGGACCATCACAAACTACCAGTCAGGATCCGACACAAACTACCAGTCAGGAACCGTCACAAACTACCAGTCAGAGAGAGAGAGAGAGAAATGGGGCTTAACGTCCACTCGACACAAACTAGGTCATTTCGGGACTAACATCTGGTTTAATTTTATTTCAATAATTCGCTTGCGCGTAGGGGTCTTTAGCAGTGGGAGGAAACCGGAGGACCCGGAGAAAACCCACGAGGTTGGACAGGCGACCCTACTCCTTGTCACGTACAACCGGGGATTCGAAACCACGCCAGTTGACTCAATGACAGACTTTATGGTATAGCGCGCACGTGCTAACCATTCAGCCATCCAACTCCCCCTCTACCAGTCAGAAACCGACACAAACTACCAACCGACACAAACTACCAGTCAGGAACCGACACAAACTACCAGTCTGAATTTTGAGTTTGCACCTCAAGCTAGCCCAGTTGAACAGGGGAATGGTGCCTCGGATTTACTCAATGCCCGCTAGCAAAACACCCTATGTGAACGAAAAGGTGCCAGCCCTGATCAGATGATACAAGCTCAAAGTATGGTCAAGAGGAGTCGAGCGGAACTAGCTACTGGTCAGGTGGAAGACAACGTAGCTGTGCCAATCCCTCTAGTTGATAGGGGTCGTGGTGATCCACGTAATATTCTGGGAATAATCATCGACTGCGATGAGAATAACATGTACACCGTTTGTGCCAAAGCAGGGATTCTAAAAGGGGAGTTTTCACGCAATCAGTTACATACTGAATCTGATGTAGACCGCACAAAGACGGTAACACTTCGTCAGGCTGTACATATAGAATCCAGCTGTGGTGGACAGGGATATTTCTGGTGCAATTGTGCAAGTTCCAAGAGATGTGAGACGAATAGATGCAAATACTTTAAAAAAAAAGCAAATGCTCCAGCCGTTGTCATAGCAGCCTGTTATGCAAAAACAAGTTACTTAAGAGATAAACCAGACGGAATTTTATTTTAAAAAGTGACGGAATTTTCTTTTAAAAAGTGACGGAATTTTCTTTTAAAAAGTGATTTGACAATAACACTTTTGTGATGAAATAAATATTTCGTTTCAACGAATTAATATTTCATTTCAAAGAGTTAATATTTCGTTTCAATGAATTAATATTTCTTTTTAAAAAGTTAACATTTCGTTATAATTAATATGATTTAACGTTTGATTTGACGTCAATAAATGTTTTACAGTTAATTTTTGTGATTTGGACAGCACTTAGTCATTTTGCGTAATTTCTGCCCATGATTTTTAGTTATTTCGTGTAATGACTGGATTTTTTTTCAGTGATTGCACATATTGCCTGGCACCAACAGCCATTTCGCGTAATGACTGATTCGTTTAGTCATTGCATGGAATGACTGATTACACAAATGACTGTAACATATATACTAATATAAAGAGATTGCTTCTTGCGGAGATATCTGTGAGTTCGTCTTCAGCAACCTAATCAAAATTACATCTTTATTTTGTTTTTGTTTTAATCTTTGATTGCTCAACCACATAAAATCTTCTTTATCCTATTTGTACTGTATTATTAATTCTCTTAGAAGTCTACTTTTAGCCAAATTTATTTTTTTTAAATCAAATGAGCGCAAGTCGAAATTTCTGTTTATTGGTTAGATTAAAGGTCAAGTCAGCTAAAATGAATCGACACTTCTTCTAAACAATTCGAAATGAAAAAGAATTGAAATTATAATACTAACAAAAACAGGACGATTTACTTTACCTTTAAGGTAACCAAAAGAGGAAAAAGAAGACACTAACGTACCTGCAAAATAACATCTTATCACTTGAAAAGGCATATTGTGCAGACTGTAAGCTTAAATTGCCACATTGCAAGAATTCGTTCAAACACGATGTATCTGAAAATATTAAAAACAATGATATTAGTTTTACAATATAAAATTTGTAATCAAAGTTAAATTGTCAAACAAGTATAATATATATGTTGCGTTCATTTTACTGTGAGGAAAATAAATGTCCAAAGCCCAGGAATAATTTGTTATCATCAATCAGCATTTAATCAAAGCATTCTTCTCCAATTCAACCCATTGTTTATCTCTCCATTACTTTGTTTATTGTGATGTGGACCAATTTGGTTGTTATGTTAACTCATTTAAGAATTTGTATTTTAAAATGCTGTTTTGTGAAATGTGGGAATTTCTAGGATACAATAAGCTGTAGATCGGAATGAAATGATTAGTTTCATAAATTAATAATCTGACTGAAATACAGAACTAAATTTTGTTTTGTTTCTTGACACTCTCCATGGCCTCCACCCCACGTAGATCTAATGTTTTTGTGTGCAAGGTCAGGTCAGATCTCATGTTGGTGAACTTTGATTGAATGATGTGAAGCATTTGGACACAGCTCACCAACGATTGAAGAGCGAAAGTAAGTTTTAGTCTTTCTCACCCTTTCTCCCTTTTGCATGGCGATTTTTGTTGACTTTTTGGTGTATAATCGAAGAAAAGGGTTTTAAAATACATTTTCTGCAAGGTTTTGGTGAATATTCATCATTTTGAGGCGGAAGGATACGTGAGTTGAGAGGTTGGTTAGGTTGAAATAGGGCGGAAAATTGCATGGGTTTTTTTTTTTGGCCTTTACTTCCAGTTTTTGTATCTCAAGTTTTCCATGGCAAACCTCATACTTGGTTTAAACAATATTTTATTTCTTAGTGAGTCACAGATACTTGCTTTTGAGCAAGAGGTTGCCACATGTTGCTCTAAGAGACGAGAATTAACATTATAAAGTCAATGGGGAAATCGTTAGTGATCTGTGGCCTGTCTGTGTGTGACAAGGCTGTGACTGATATGTCTTAGTTTTGAAAATATGAAGACTTAATTCTCAGAAAATATGTATAAGATATTCTGACTTTAACAAAAAAAACAAAAGAAAAAGTTAAATTTTAAAAAAAAAAAAAGTTTTGAGGAAAATTGTGATTTTACACCAAATTCCTAAATTTTCAGTTTTTATTTCATTTCTAACATAAAGAAAACTATTTGAATGCCCAATTTTAGCTTATTCAGCCTCAGAAAGGACGGTTAAGTGAACAGTATTGTAATTTCACAAAATGTTGTCTACACAAGAATATTCACAGAAAATCTCCAGATTCAACCCAATTCGATGTGGAAATTAATCCTTTCATGACTACTCAAATGAGTCAAAACGTCTAAAAATGTCTTTATTTTCATTGCAAATATAACTTAGATGGGATTTATAAGTTTGTCAGGTTTCGAAAATGCTCTAGCTTTCCTACAGAAAATTGAAAATTGGTAACACTGTGTATACAGGGGTTGGCTCAATTTTGCCACTATTTTACCTAGCTTTTATTTCCTCATCTTAGAAACATTAAATTCTTGCATTTCCTTCATGTAGAAAGCTATATTCAAGTCTTTCTCGACATTTTTCACTTTGCCATTCCATTAAGATGGGCTATAAGCGCCCCACCCCACCCCTTTTTTAAAAAATGTGTTTTGGAGATATAATTGCTCATGTATTGAGATTTAAATGATTGGAATTTGTGGATGAATTACAACTAAGGATCCTATTTTTCACCAATAGATAGTTATTTTGTACATTTCACGGATTTCTAACCCTTTTTGTTTAGAGTCAAACTTAGAACCCTGGGACATTTCAGGCCAATGAAGTTATTTTGTACATTTCAAGGATTTCTAACCCTTTTGTGTGGAGTCAAACTTAGAACCCTGATATAAAACTGGTGTAGATGTGTAAATGTCAGCTTAATGCTCAACATTCTCTTATCAAAATCTAGGATTTGCGGTGTTTGTTGCATTTATGTTACTTATAAAACAATAAATTTTAGGAAATTGATGTAAAGGTCCAGACATCTTGCTTCAGCACAAGGATTGCAATTAAAATTTGTATGATGTCTCTGAGGTTTGAGATGTTGGAAACATTGAAATATTCCCAAATTTGTGAAAACTGTGTATTCTGTGACCCTTTTGTTAGAGAGGGGTGATCATAGACTAAATATGACATTTTTTTTTTCATTCATCAAGGCCTATGTTTAACCTTAATTCATATTTATTGCACATATTTTAGATTATATGTACATATGTTAGCCATAGATTGTAAAACATAGCTGTTAAGACAGATTCCTTTGGTAATGTTAGTTCTGCAACCAAAGATTAGATTGATTCAGTCATTGACAGGTTTAGGAGGTAGGGATACATATTTCAGAATAGATCTCTAATATTACAACCAATTTAACTGATTTGCAATTTTTTCGTTTGCACATTTCTAAATGTATATTTCTTGCCAGTCTGGCTATCTAAAAAGTGGAAAATTATTGATATTTTGAAAGATGTTACGTGTTAATTTTGTACATTTTTCTTAACATTGTAGTAAAAAAAAATATATATTTTTTAAAAAATTCCAAATTATGAGTGTTTTCTATGTAGTTTATTTGGAACTTGACAAGTTTTTTCACATAACTCATATATGAAAGATATTTCAATTTTAAAACAGTTCCATGGACCTGAGATGCACTAGTGTACTTAAAGCAGCGAGTATACTAAAAGGGGCCATCATTTTTGCAGTTATTCTTTGATTTTGATTTTCTTTCGCTGGCATGTTGCCAGAACACATGGGATGCAAATAAAAAAGGCCTTTTGGTGATACCTGAAGTTTTACCCCTATAGAGGACACAGATTACCAAATATTCCTACGAATGAAGGGCGAAGGTTATGTTTTAGTCTTTAGATCTCCCTTTCCATTTTCCCCCTTTTGCATGGCGATTTTTGTTGACTTTTTGGTGTAGAAAAGGGTTTGAAAATACATCGGTTTTGGTGAATATTCATGATTTTGAGGCGGCGGAAGGATACAAGGGTTGAGAGGTTGGTTAGGTTGAAATGTAGGGCGGAAAATTGCATGCTTACTGGCCTTTACTTCAATATTTTTATCTCAAGTTGTCAATGGTGGACCTAATCAGTACTAGACCGGGAGCCCAGGGGGTCAACCTAGCTGAAAAGTGTACCAATTTTCTCCTATATGGTATCAATGTATGTATATCTGGTATCATCAGAATGTAAGTCTGCCGGGTTTCTGGTGGTGGGTGTGGTATTCCACGCCCTAAATGCCATGATCCCCAACTAGGCCAGATTAGCTCAAAAGTGTACTACACGAAAATCTTACTGCAGTGTACCGTACATCTTCAGGTATTACAAAAACACTCTGACAGACATTTCTAGTGGTGGGGTACCTCTGACAGAGCTATGTAATTGCGTCCCTTATATAGATCACAATTTATGCGTTTTCTACAAAAACCAGCGCGATATCCATAAGTTAAACAATTAAAACATAGTCTACTTTCCTGGACTAAACGCCGTTTATCGTCCATATTCATTTTCTTAAATTTTTAGCAGTCGTCTAATATATGTTCACCTTTACAAGAGGGATACTTTGGGAATGAAATTAAACGCGTATCTGTTTCCGTCTTAACCATTCTCTCTTCTTCCAGTTTAATCACAAAATTAATTCTTGGGAAGCTACCTCCCTTAAATTTTGTTTTATGTTTGTCCCCTGATCTAAGTTAATCTCCCAAATGACACATTTGTAGCAAGGCCCCCCTGACTAACTCACTTGGGTCTATATCCCCATGCGATACCTATGGTATTAATCCTATAATCCATCGTCTATACAAACAACATACCATGTTAACTAAAACGCTATTGCCCGTAGACGTTAATTGCAATCTAATTGCAACAGACTAACCCGTTGTGGAAAATAGACCATGCATTTTCATGCGTGCACTGTATTAGAAATAACAAGAAACACTATGTTAATCAAAAGAGATAAATACAAGTAGTAAAAACAATAAATAAATATTTTTTCAACAATTTATAATTTGTGAAATAGTAACATTAGCTAGAACACTTATCCAATAGTATAAAAAAACAAATATACAATATCTAGCGTCTGGCCATTTTTTAGATATTTTAATTTTCCCTTTTGGATGTCTATTCTAACTAAAATACCACTCCCACATCATCGCACGTGCTATTTTTTTTTTCACGTCTGTACATAGTTAGTTTATTCGGTGTCTTGGGAATCGCGTCAATGCAGCATACCCCGTTCCAACCAAAACAATATTACATTATCCATTGGTCTGTTGTGAATTCATAAGGTAGATTACCAGGCAGCGAAACATACGCCCACAACAGCTAGGTCGTCTGGGCAGTTAACAAGGGGTGTCGCATATTTGTATTTTGTCGGTAAGGAAAACATTAAAATCTAATTACGAATAACAACCCATGAAGTAATTGTCAGCTTTGTTTGGCTTTTAGTTCTACCCTATATTAACGTTAAGTACACAAAATCAATAGGATTCTTCGTCTCATGACCTTAATTATTTAGCCACCAGAGCGTGGACACCGGACGGGCGGACGGACAGACGTGGGCGACGACAATGTATGACATGTGGGCGTATAAAGTCAGTTTTAGACACGTAGACACCCGTCCTTCTGAGTGCCCATATACGTATACAGTGTTGAAATTCAAAATAGCTTCTGTGCAGCTGACCAACCAGATAAAGGTGTACCTCGCCACTTTCCCGGGGTCAGTACATGACTCATGCACGTATCTTCTTACAAAGAATGTGCGGGGTTTAAATTGCTTTGGATATCATTTCGTATTCTCAGAAGGACGTTCCCACAGCCTTCTAGGCTGCGAGGCTGCGAAACAAAAGACAAAAGGCAAGCTAGGGGATAGGGAACTTATATCTAGCTTATATTTAATGTTATAGCTGTGTGTGTGTAGTTTCCTGTATATAACCATTGTATTATGGATGTTATAAAGATATAATAACATAGTTAACCAATAAAGTGTTCTAGAGTCAATCGATAATTGAGGTTTTATATGCGGTCATGACTAGATAAGTGTCACCCTAGTGTCACGGATCGTATACACAACGTGAAAGTAATTCATAATTCATCTATTTAACGACACCGTAGTGTCACAATCTTCTCTAATTGATCATCCGTGTCAAGGATAGTGTCACAGAGGTACCACAAGCTAAAAACGTGCTTTTTCCTATATTCAGGGGTCATAATCCAGAACGTTGCGGTCTGATATGAGCGAATATCGAAAGGAACCGAGATCCAATATAAAAATATTGGTCCAATGCTTGATAGTAGATAAGCTCCAATATGGACATGGGAATTGAAATAAGTACAATCAGGGGCCATAAGTTTCGATCCGATACATGCCAATATCGAATGAACCAAAATCTGTTGGAGATAAACCTATTTTTGAAGTTTTGTCAAAATCGGATAAGAATGGTAACCTGTGGAGTGTCCATAAACAAATTGTGGACGGACGGGCGGACGGGGGCGACAACAATATACATCCATATGAAAATGTGGCGTATAAAAATATTGGTTCAATACTTAACGATACTTTCCCAGAAAAATATTTATCGGGTGGTTATTTCCAATAAAAGTATGTCAAATTTGGTATATATGGAAAGTATAGACACCCAATCTTACTAGAAAAATACTGGATTACCCGAAAAACGCCCATGGGGCGAGCACTGGGCAAAATTGTCAGGGTATCACTAACTGGCAACCCGACTGTTATCTGTCAGCTTAGTGTGTGCTAGCTTAAGTCAGGGAGCGGTTGTTATTTCTTGATCAAATGGTTAGGCGGTTTTGGGAACATTGAGGGGTGTCAACATACAAAAGGGGCGGAAAAAGAAGTTGACAGAAATAATCAAGAATTTACTTAGGCCTCAATATATAATGTAAATGTACAGTAAGTAATGATAAATACATTCTGAAAAAATGGACCCACCCACAATGAAGCTAAGTTGACAGACATTACGTCTAACAACAGCTTACTTATAGCTATAGGTATCCCCGGCGAATACAAAGCCTTGAGAGGGAATTGAAGCAAATTTTTGATAGATTGGTTACTTTGAATATGTTTTTAGTCGAAATATATCATCAATCACAAAGTTTGTACGCGGGAATGTATCTTAAATAGAAGATAAGCTCCAATATGGATATGGGAATAGACATAAACTTGTGTCTCCAAATATCCAAATACAGGTAAATAAGGTATGTCCTTGGGAATGTGATCTAAGTTGATCTCCCAATGACACGCTTGTAGCAAGGTTCCCCTGACTGACTTAGTTTGGTCTATATATATATATATACCCATGTGTTACCTATGGTATTAAACCTATAATCTATCGTCTATACAAACAATATACCATGGTAACTAAAATGCCCTAGCCGTAAAGCCGTTAATTGCAATTTATCACCCAATAATACATTCTACAGTAGATATCGCTTGTGTGATATATTTCATAATCTACTGCGATATCTCCTTAGGAGATATCGCTTTAGATGAATTTGATTGGCCAGTTGAAAAGGAACTACCTTTTTTTATATTCAAAGAACAGTTCATTTCTTATTAAAAGTAACTCTTTTTTTTAATAAAAATGAACTGCCGTATCAGTAAAAGTGAAATCTACAGCAAAGAACTATATTTATCTATTTGTGCATGTAATTGGGTGATAAATAAAAGCTCCTACTCGTTTTTTGTTACTTTATCAACTTGTGTTGATATTTTTTTTATATCAAAAAAGACTGGTAGGAGATTCTCTATTTATAAGATCAATTTAAAGTGTAAAACAAAGAATACTAGTTGGAGACAATAAATGAGACAATATGAAATAGATATAAATGGAGAGGGGCGGGTAATTAAGGTGAATTAAGATCCATTAAAATATAGTATACTGAATTAAGAAATACTGTGTTGATTAGCACGACGTATTAAACATTTGCTATTGGGTCGAAATTCACCCTACTACAATTTTATAACATAATTAAAACCTGTCACATTGTAATGCATTCCCCAAGCATAGGTGTCTTCTCTTGCAGTTCAAACTAGTGTGGAAAATGATCCTAATGCCGTTAAAACAAATAAAACGAGGTTTCAACTGTAAAATAAAATAGGATCTATGCTTTATTACATTGATAAATTAACAACAATATTGCTATTGCAGGGAATTACATCGTAAATATATTTACCTTGACCATAACATAATTGATCGTAGGTTTGCCGGCTTTGATTGAAGGCAGACACGACTGTTTCTTCTAAAGAACAGATGTCAGATACGTTATAATAACAATTCATGAACTCCTTGGTCACCCTGTAACACCAGAAAACATAGCATAATAGAGAGGTGGACACCAGCAACGTGGTCGGGGATTTTTGTTGTATTCAGTACTTACATTTACTGCTTTATTTTTGCAGTGAAGCGTTTCGTATAATCACAGGTTATTAGTGGCGGATCTAACATCATCGTCTCGAAATTACTCAGGCATACATGTACACTGAGCTTTTTAAAGAGAGAAATCCAACACGCCATTTGATTTGATAAGCAAAATGTCTGGAATCCAGTAAATCGACATGATTACCGGCTGTCAGGCCGGATACGCCCACATTTTGCAAGAGATGGATAGAAAACAAGCTAAACAAAATGCGATTTTTCGTACAACCAGGGGTCATAATTCAGGAAGTTACGATCCGATATGTGCAAATATCGAAAGGAACTAAGATCTTTGGGTTATAAACTTACATTTCAAGTTTCATCAAAATCAGAAGAAAATTGTGACCTCTAGAGAGTCCACAACCTTGATAAATCATATTTTTACGCTATTTGAGTACGAGGGGCGGCCATTTTGTCTGTCAGTTTTGATCCTATCTTTTAGAAATTCGAACTAAACCATCCTTAGGGTGTAACGGTGATATATTCAAACGTTTTTTTAAATAGGATAAAACTTATTACCTCTATAGGGTCCACAAGCTAAAAACGCGATTTTTCGTACAATCAGAGGCCATAATTCAGGAAGTTACGATCCGATATGCGCGAATGTCGAAAGGAACCAAGATCTTTGGGTTATAAACATGCATTTCAAGTTTCATCAAAATCGGATCAAAATTGTGACCTCTAGAGTGTCCACAAGCTAAAAACGCGATTTTTCGTACAATCAGGGGCCATAATCCATGAAGTTATGGTCCGATACATGCCAATATCGAAAGGAACCGAAATCTTAGGGAGATAAAGCTATATATCAAGTTTCGTTGAAATCGGATAAAAATTGTGACCTGTAGAGTGCCCACAAACAAATTGCGGACGGACAAACAGGGGCGACGACAATATACGTCCGCATGAAAATGTGGGCGTATAAAAAGACTTACCATTGGCCGTTGTCAAGCAGGTGCCTCCATTTTGACAATGGCCACCATAACAGTAATTATATATGTTCGGTTTTACAATTTATTATATTTAATTTTATTTTTATGTATATGTTATATTTATAATTTATTATTTTCTGTATCCCTGGGAAAGAACTTATATATAGGCTTTACCTGTTGTTCAATCCTTTTCAAACAAATAAAATATTGTTTAAACTAAACTAAACTAACAGTAATTATCAGGTTCAGATGTTGCCATGGCCAGAGTAGCCCGGTCTACAACTACAGTGATATGTTGGATATGAAAAAATATAGGAATTTTTCTAATACAAATATTCTTTCTCTTACCGGCAATAGACCTCTGGATTCAGCATTGCTTGGGAACCATAGTTTGCCACAATTTTTGAGCATTCATAAATACGTTGTGAACAGGAATTATCTAAAATGAAACATTAACACTAACATAACACAGAAATGCTAAAGTTATTGTTTTCACTAATCATTTACCACCTGTTCAAATGCCCTATTCTTATTATGAATTCACTGCCAAGTGATCTTTTAGTGCATGCCTCAGGTTTTCGTCCCATCCAAATAACTATTTGTTGTCCCTTGCCAGGCCCTTTGCCCTGCACCAATGGCGGGGGATCATTGGGGGAAATTCCGATGAACTTCCTCAGCAAACGCAGGGTTCGAAAACGGGACCTCCGGGTTAGCAAGCCAACGTCGGGCGCACTAAGTCACCCTTATGTCAGATACCTTCTTCAGTTCGATGTTCGTAGACATAGATGAGTTGTGTGTTATTCATCAATAAAAATAATGTTTTGGCATTGTGAAATTAACAGAAAGCAGTGTAACCTTTAGATGGACATGTTTTACGTTATGACTGATCGGTTTTATTAATTGTCGGTTCAATGTTTATGGTTAAATTACTTTTTATTGTGTATGATCTATATTAGCCTTTTAGTCTATTATATTGGTTGACTAGAAAAAGTTACAAAATGTTCTTTTAACATTCTTCAAATCTAATATCTATGTTTGTTATAAACAGTGCATCAAAACGATTATTTTCCGAGAACATCTGGTCAATCAGTACCCTTTCTAGACTATTATTGTACTCACCGTGTGATGTTTCTGTCATTGTTTCACAGTAAGCACCAGTGTAGCCATATTGACATGTGCAATATTCTCCATTAGTAGAATTCATACACCACCCGTCATTATAACAAACTCCGCCATTACACATAACCGATTCACACCATTTTCCTGTATACCCTGGTCCACAATTACAATAGTCCCCACTAGGTGATCCCCAACAGGAGGCCCCGTTATGACAATACCCACCATTACAGAAATAGCTTGGACCAGCGGTCGTGCTCAAAGTGATCTGCAACTCACACCATTGTCCTTTGTAGCCTGGTTCACAACTACAATAGTCGCCATTAGGTGAACCCTGGCAAGTGCCCCTGTTTTGACAATAACCTCCATTACATTCATGATTAGGGTTAGATGTCACGTTACCATTGGATGACGTATTGTACCAGTCGCACCACTGTCCCGTATAACCAGCCGTACAATAACAAGCCTTACCATTGGCCGTTGTCAAGCAGGTGCCTCCGTTTTGACAATGGCCACCATAACAGTAATTATCAGGTTCAGGTGTTGCCATGGATGCATTAAACTGACAAAACTGACCAGAGGTGCCACCAAAACAAACACAATAGCGTCCGTGGGCTGAATCATAACAATACCCGCCATTTTGACAATAACTGCCACCACAATTAGTGTTGTAATCCCAGTACTGACATAATTGGCCAAAGTAGCCCGGTCTACAACTACAGTAATCTCCATCATTTGAACTCCAACAAGATCCGCCATTTTGACAATAACTTCCGTTACAATATGTCCCAGGCCCAGCTGTTGTTGATGAAGACTTGTAATATTGGCACCATTTACCATAATAATCCGGACCACAATGACAGTAGTCTCCGTTAGACGAACTCCAACAGGATCCACCATTCTGACAATCACTTCCGTTACAATAATTCAAAGGCGAAGAAGATGTTGACAAAGGGTTATAATACTGACACCATTCGCCATAATAACCTGGTCCACAATGACAGTAGTGTCCGTTAGACGAACTCCGACAAGATCCACCATTTTGACAGTAACTTCCGTTACAATAATTCAAAGGTGCAGAAGTTGTTGAGAGTGGTTTATAAAACTGGCACCATTCACCGTAATAACCCGGTCCACAAACACAATAGTCTCTGTTAGACAAACTCCTACAGGAACCACCATTCTGACAATAGCGTCCGTTACAATTTGTCCCCGGCCCAGATGTTGTTGTAGTTATGTTACTGCTTGTTAATCGAGTTAAACAATTCATTCCCGTAAAACCAGGTGAACAGTTACAAGTAGGTAAGCCTACCAAAACAAAACAACTACCACCATTGTAACATTGGTAATTATTACATTCTGGCGGTGAAGTAGGCGGGGTAGAGGGCATTGCTGTGTCACATGATTTTCCGGTATACTGGCCGACACACTTGCAAATTGGTCCAGCAGAGTTGATGACACACGACGCCCCGTTATAACAAGTCATACCATAACAATCCATCTCATTTCCATTTGTCGAGGAGTAAGTCGATGGGTAGTTTGTGGTTGTTTCAACTATGGTTTCACAATACATCCCTGTATATTTACCAAAGCAGTAACAATAAGCGTTACCATTGTCCATAAAGCAGGATCCTTCATTGTAGCAAGTAATGTTATTACACGCATTGGCATGCCGATTTGGTTGCGTCACAGCTGGAACAGCTGTGGACATGAACTCACACGATTTACCATCGTAACCATCTTGACAATAGCAGGTGGAATTAATACATGATCCGCCATTTCTACAGTAGCTACCATTACACGGGAAATCTGTAAAATAAAAATTTCATAAGGAAAATAACAAAATACAACATTACAGGTGGCAAAGATCACCATTAATGCTGGCTTGTTTCAAATAATAACAATAATAATAGCGAGCTTTTATATTGCACACAGATCCATCAAAGTTAATGCTCAAGGCGCATTTAGCTCTCCACTTATAACATGATAAAAACACGGTTAATGTTAATAAGCAGTCGGAAAAAGATGAGTCTTTAACTGCTTCTTAAAACAGCCAGGTAATTGTGAATTCTTTTTGGTTAAGGGTAATGAATTCCATAGGTTTGGTAGAGTGTATTTGAAGCATCTATGACCGAATGACTTAGGTCTGTAGTTGGGTACCACAAGACGTAGTTCATGTTGGGAAAAAGATTTCTTTGGGAGACATAAGAAACAAGCATTGAGACAAGTAGTCTTATGCTTCACCTTTCTGACATTTGTAGGCTATGCACAGAAGTTTGAACTTAATTCTGCTTTCCAGTGGAAGCCAATATAAATTCTTTAACCGTGGTGTGATATGGCAATTTCTACCAGAATGGCACACAATTCTAGCCACAGTATTTTGCACACGTTGTAGTTTGTGTATAAGGCAGTAGTTTATGCTAGACAGAAGTCGAGTCTTCAGTAGTAGTCGAGTAGGCGAGTTTGGATAAGATTAAAGATCGAACCAGAGCACGTGCTGCATCTTTTGTGATCAAATGGCGGATTTGACGAATGGACCTCATATGAAAGAAGCAAGTCTTGCTAATTTGATTCACATATTTCTCCATGCCGAGTTCTGAATCAAGATAAAAACCAAGATCTTTCGGGTTATTATCCAATTGGATTATGGAGTTTGCGACTGTTATTGATTTTTGACTAATGTTCAGAAGTTGTTGTTTGGTGCCATATATCATAAGTCTTCTGTCTTGTCGTTCAACTTCAGCATGTTATTTGTCATCCAGGATTTTATATCAATTGTACCATTATTTATATCAATTGTTATTTTATTGAAGGAAACATGTGTGAACTCGAAATTGTCCAACATCTGTGTGCCATCTGCTGAGCAGTGATACTGAAGATTATGTTACTTTAGAATACTGGCGACGCTTACATTATATAACACAAACAACACTGGTCGCAAAACCTTAACTTAACTAAATCGGATAAAGTGTTGTGTATATGTGTACAGATTGCGAGCTTCCACGAAGGTTTGATTGAAACCAACTCAAAGCATTTTATGATATTCCAAATTCTTGAAGAGTACAGATGGATCGATGGTGTCGAATGCAGATACATCCAGCATTACAAGGCAGCAGCAATCACCAATCATCAACAGCCGATCTGTTGTCATTTACAACCTTTAACAGGACAGTCTCTGGGGAATGGTTTTGTCTATAAGCAGATTGAAAGTTATCTATTAAAGAGTAATAATTTAGATAATCTTTTAACCTTTTGTTGACAGCTTTATCCAAAACTTTAGAAACAAACAATAAGTTTGAAACAGGTCGGTTTCTTAAGTAGAGGTTTAACTACTGTCAATTTGTAAATTCGGGGGAAAATCCCTAACCCGAGACGGTAGTTGACAATGCGACTGATGATAGGCAGACACACATTGAGAAACTGAATTACAAGTGATGTAGGCAATGGATCAGAAAAAACATGTTGAAGGATTAGAAGAGCGAACAATCTTTTCAGTAATCTCTTCGGAAAACAAGTGAAGCTCGCTGAGCTCATCACTGGTAAATTGACTAGTAATAAAGGTAGCGGGGCTGTCATCAGGTGACCAGATTTAATTTCATCGATTCTGTCAATAAAGAAACAATTGAAAGAAATGGCTAGATGATGACCAGGTCCAGAATGTTTCCAGATCTGTATGTTGTCTGTTGCACAAACTGTTTCAGAGAATGACACTCATCAAGAGATTTAAACTGTTTGTTGAGGTCAAGATGCTTAAATATTTGAAAATTGACTGAATAATGTAATATTGTTGTATTTCATCTTGTGCAACTTACTTTAGTTAGTTTTTCCTTCATAATCAATTTGGAATCCAAATCCGCGAAATGAATGTGCTCGGATCAGGGGGAAATTACTCGTGATGGAAGAAAACTGGGGCTGACGAGACATGAAGAAAATTGAAGAAAGTATTTTGAAGATTTCTGGAACTTTTATTGTTATTTATTGGACACTTGGACAGCAAACAAACTCGGCAACAATATCAAGGAAACATTTATGAACATTTTCGTGTATCTAATGACTGTAATTATCAAAGTATTTAAGGAATAAGAAACTTTCACTGAAAAACCACGTAGTAGACCCGATTATCCGGAACTTATGTACCGCCATATCTGTGCCAAATTACTTTAGAATTAATCGTATAAGTGATAATAACTCTTCAAAAAAGAAAAAGTAGGAGATATTCAGAAACGATACAAATCTGCGGAAATGCACTGCTGTTTTTTTTAGAGGTAACCAGTGTATGTTAATAACAGGCCAATTGCCTACACATGAACATAAACAGTTCATATGGGCGGCTTATCTGACGGGCCCATTTCACTCGCAAAGAGATACACTGTCAAAAGTGAAAATGGTCGTTTTTGATTCCTGTCTTAATAATGAGTAATTGCTCCACCAATCCTCAGACATTAAGCAATTCGTGGTGGCATGCTCCTAAACAACCGTCCAATCACGATTTGAGGCAATCTGACCCACTCCTCTTGCAGTGCCACGGCCAATTCTTACATGTGTTGTCGGTTGACGTTGACGTTGACCTCGACGAACACGTATCCCGATCATGTCCCAGGCATGCTCTATTGGGGAAAGGTCAGGACTCATGGCTGGCCAAGGCATATGGACAATATGGTGACGCTGGAGGTAGTCATTCACGACACGAGTGCGGTGGGTACGGGCGTTATCATCTTGAAAGATGAAACGTCGACCAGCACGTTGAGCAAAGGGCAGAACTATCGGTGCCAGGATGTGGTCACGGTAGTACACACCAGTGACGCTTCCTTGAACAATATGCAAGTCCGTTCTGCCAGGCATGATGATTCCTCCCCACACCATAACAGACCCACGCCCAAATCTGTCATGCTGTTTGGCGTTAACGTTAGCATGACCCTTATTTACACGCCTCCAAACGCGAGCACGTCTATAGGTGAAATCCAGAGTAAATCTGGACTCATCTGAGTACATTACACGCGCCAATCGACGATTACCCCAATTTCTACATTATCAACACCATTGACGCCTGTTTGCCATGTGCTGGCGAGTTAATGGAGGCACAACACGCGGTCGTCGCGCATGCAAATGTGCTGCATGTAGCCGATTTCTAATCGTTTGGGGTGTAACTCGAATTCCTGTAACTTGATACAAGTTTACAGAAAGCTGATTGCCGTTTGTCCTCGATTTCGCAGGACCTGTGTTCGAATTTATCGATCCCGGGCTTGTGTAGTGGCTTGTGTAGTGAACGAGGTCTATTATCAGCATTGTGTATTTGTTAGTACCGGTTCCACAGTCTGCTGATCACAGACTGCGACACATTAAGCATGTTGGCTACTGCTCGCTGTGTAGAACCCATTTGAAGCATGCCAATAGCACGTAGACGTTCATCATGTTGAAGACGTCTCATTGCAAATTAAACGTAACACACTCGAGAAAAGATACGCTAAACAGTAAATCTTATGCAAGAACCGATAGGAAAGCAAACATGGATAGGATTAACCAGCACGCGGCAGTTTTCATCAACCCTTCCTTGAAGTGTCAAATTTGATAATGACCCCCCCCCCCCACACACACACACACACACACACATGGCGCTATTGGGGCGATAAGTTCTTCATCTGTGAACATACTCTCAAAGCATGTCAAGTGTCCATGACTATTTATCACATCACAACCTGCATAGGTATTTGCATTTCAATATCCCCTACATTTTTTGAAGAGTATATATAAATTATATAGTGGCTTTGTCTGTGACCTACTTTATTTGTTTATGGGCAGTCAATAAGGCGTTGTACAGTTTATTTGAAACCTTGTTGAATTTGAAGGTTCTATGCTGTGGAATTGATCTGTTTACATTTCCCTTCATAATTCTGCATCTTATTAAGCTATTTGTCTCTATGTTAACCCCATGCATCTCAGAATATCCTTAGTTGTGTCTTTTCATGTGGAAATTAGTTAAGGACCTTAGTACTTACTTACATGTAGGATATGAGTTATTATTTTAGTTGTGTGCTTATTATGTCAAACTTTGTATTTTTCAGTAAATCAATCAATCAATAATAAGTCAATCATAAAGCAGTAGATTGAGAATGTCATTAAACCAGGAAGTACATATTAATAGAGAATTAGAGAATATTAATGTTGTATAAGAACATTCCCTGTGATTATAGTATACATGTCCTGTATGGTGTACAGTTGAAGTTGAGAAAATTAAAGATAGATACATTGGACTGGACCCTTTAGAATATTGTGATCAAATTGCATTTACGAGTAACAGATATACAGTAACAATGGATGAAGGAAAGAAAGATGAAAGACGAGAGAAAGTAATAGAAGTTGGGGTATATAACGGCTGTTAAGAGGAATCTGAAGTTGTAATTAAGGAAAGGGGAACCACAGATAAGAATATAGAAGCAGAGGTACCATGTATTGAACAACTATCTGAAGACATATCAATTGAAGTCAGTAAGATTCCAGATCCATCCGCTAAGGAGTTAGCTAAAACTATTGCTGGGGTTAGAACACGGAAAATGATGGAGAAAGGGAGAAGGCATTCATTGGAAGTAAGACTAAAGAACAGGAAGTTTGCTGCTGCTACAGTTGAAAATGAAATAAAAGAAATTGAAAGTTTAATGAAGGACAAAAAGGTAGATGAAGTTGAAGAAGGATATGAACTATTCTTAGATCTATTTGAAGACTTTCAGTGCCACCATAAAAGTTATCGTTTGCTGCTTTGCGATGAAGGAGTTGACAACTATGGGAACAGTCTGAACAGAATTTCCTTCACT